CATCAAATGTCGGATCTTGGTAGAAGGCAGGACTTGAGTCTCATTGTCACCAGGATTCAGATAAATATCCTCATCGGTGTCCGACTCCGAACCCTGGCTTCTTCTCGAATTGGAAACAATGGCAGGCTTCCGTGTTGGGGATTCAGGACCACCATCCTCATCAGTCTCAGAGTCCTCAGAATTCAGCCATTCGCCTCCTCCTTCAGCATCTTCGTCATCAGTTCCACCAGCTTTTCCAAGATTAGGCAAACCGCGTTGGCCCTCCGGGACTATCCACTCCCCATCGTCCTCGTCCTCGTCGTCGCTGTCAATAACAATTTTCCTGTTTCTCCGAGCTCGAGCCTTCTGCGTTTCGGAGAATTTATTCGATGGTGAGTCGGTGAGATCCACCTCTATTCTCGGCTTGTGAGAGCTCTTTTTCTTGCCTGAATCGATACCACCAAGCGTAGCCTTTAGATCGGCCTCGCACTCGCCACACCTGCTGGAACTGCTCTTTACTTCTTCCTTGCTCAGCTCTGTCTGGCAAACATCACATTTCTTCGAAACGACGCTCAGGGCTCCAAAGAGATCAGCCATACTGTCGAGATCGTCCTGCTTTCCAGAGCTAGATTGGCTACTAGAGGTCCCATTCTGCAAGAGAATGTCTTTGTCCTTGGCAAGATCGCTCTTGACCAGATCTGGATGGTTGCATGCTTGTCGTAGACGTAGCAGTAAGACCAAAGCACCGGCGTAATCGACTTTGGAGCCACCCATCATCTTCTCAAGGCTGTTTTCTGTTCGCTGTTCGAGACGTTTATAAAAGTTCATCTCGCCGGGCATGAACTCTGCAGCTACCTTGATGACTTCCCGTTTGGTGATCTGGAAGCCGGTCGACTTCTTCTGCTCCCCGTCGGCACCTGACCCGCTGGGCTTGAGGTTGGAATTCAGCTTCAAAACGTCCTTAGTGCGCCGCTTCATGAATGCCTTCAAATAGACCTGTAGGCGCTCAATCGCAAGGGCCCCACGGCCGTTCGCCAACGGCCTTGTGATCTGATCCTTCCAAGCGGCAAGGTCGTTGTAGGGTTTGATCCGCAGAAATTTGATCAAACTCTGAAGCTCGTCCAAGTTGTTCTGCATTGGCGTTCCCGACAGACACCATCTATATTCTGCATCAAGCGCACAGGCAGACTGCGTTGCCTTGGCATTCCGATTTTTGATGGTATGCGCTTCGTCTAGGACTATCCGGTACCAATAAACAGAGAAAAGTCCCGATTTCTTCTTGTTCTTATCGACAGCTCCATACTCAGAGGTTAAGGTGCCATATGTCGTAATCACCACATCGTAGGCGTCCAGGCTGTCAGTTGCTTTCGCGCGAGTATTTCCGTGGTAGACACAAACACGTAGCTTATGAGAGTCCTCAACCTTGGTTGCTATTTCTGACTCCCACTGTTTAATCAATGCCAGTGGGGCAACAACAAGAGTTGACTTGCTTAGCCCAGGAGGTACCTTGCGCACCTTCTCATTGTCTTGGTCGTCACTGCTGTTGTCATCCGTTTTGGCGGCGCCGGCCATGAACTTGTCCGAAGATTTCTGATTGGTGAGTACCAGGGCGATGGTCTGAACAGTTTTTCCCAGACCCATATCGTCTGCGAGTATGCCACCCTTAGGAAGCACTCCTTTGGCGTTGCCTGAGCCTCTCTCTTTGTCACACATCCAATTCACTCCTTCCCTTTGGTGAGGGAGTAGCTTAACTTTCAAGCCTTCGACTGTCCCATCATCTTCTTCCTCGTCTTCCTCCTCTTCTACTTCCTCATCATCTTCTTCACAGCCATGCTCATCGTCTTCGGCTTCATCTTCAGATGACTTCTCGTCGTCCTTGGTTTCGCCGTTGTCTGCTTTATCAATGTTGTCTTCTGCCTTCAGCTCGTCCAGTTCACTTTTCTCGGTAGCAGCGCTTGACTCGTTGACGGTAACTCCTTCAAGTTGAGCGGCTAGGTCGTCAATTTCAGAAGTGCCCTGCTTCTTTTGTTCCTTGGCCTCCTTCTTCTTCTTCTTCCTCCGGTTCTTACTCTTCTTCCGGTTCTTTGCCCTTGATCCTTGCTTGTCATCGTCATCCGTAAAAGCCCCTTCAAGCAGAGCTTTTATGTTTTCGTTGGCTTTGACAGGATCAACATAGCCGTTGACGTCCATTGACCCGAACCCCGTATTACGAGGCCTAGTGCTGGGTGTGAACCCTCCCTCGCGGGTAAGATCAACGAAGTTGCTGAGATTTTTGGATGCTTTGTCCATTTTGATGGCTGAAGACGCATAGAAAGTCTTGGGAGCTCGCGGGGTGGTGAAGGTGACATTCTCCGGACGGCGAATCTCCACAACATCGTTGTTGACTGGACGGGAGTTTCGGTAGTTGTTATAGGCCGAAGGTCGAACAGGCTTGAAAGGATCGAACGGCTCGCTACGCTTCGGTGTGGATGCTACAGGGCCACTTGAGCCACCAGTTGGTCTGTGACCCTGATGGTTTATACCAGGATGAGGAGCATTGTATGGCCTTGACTGCGGTGCAGGTCTGTGATGTTCAGGTCGAGCCCGGTTCGGCTTTGGGATATTGAAAGGATGATTCGACTGTTGCTGGTGGGGCGGGTTTGGACGTTGATATGGGCCGAGAGGAGAAGGTTTCCCAAATTCAGGTTGTTGTGAGAGAGGACGCTGGGTGTGCTCGTTTGGCCGACGAGGGGTCATCGGATACGACGGCGGCGCGTCGCTTTCTTTAGCCATCGAGTGGTATTTGTGAACGACTCTCTGAAGTCCGTCAGATGTAAGAAGCAATTGTCATCCGGTTATATCTTGTTGAGTCTGTCTCGGATGGTTGATTATCGCGGTGGGACCTTGGCAGGTAGGGTGCTGAGAAGGGCCAGAAAGGGAGGTGAAGGCAGGGAATGATATTGCAGATGGAAGCGGAGTCAGCAGTCTGTCATCTGTTCCTACAGTGGATTCTTCAATCTTGCTTTGAGTACCCAGCAGCTTAAGAGTATTAGCAGGCTAGGTGCTCACGAGTTCGGTGCCGCTGCTGGTTGTAATCGACAAGCTATAATAGCCACGTAGGAGAGCCAAATCCTGGTACTGGCCTCGAATAATCAGAATTGATTAGAAACCAGTATTCCCTGTGCTTGACCTTTGACAAGCTAGATCCTCTTGTGGAGCTGTTTGTGGTAAAAATCCGTGTTGTTAGTGCCGACATGCCACATTATTATCGACAGCGTTTTGTTTGGGGTTTTGCCCCAGCAACCGTGTGATCTGCCTTAGCGCCTGAGGCTATTCTTATCGATAAAGGCGAAACAACGCGATAATGGCCTGATATCTCTCACCCAATAATGGCTTCAAAGCTACGCTTACGGACTTTTCTTTTAGCCCACCATTTTCTTTAACGTCACTCCTTCCTAGTTATAACATGGAATCTTTCTACGAAATTTCTTTAGGAGTCCGAAGCCAAAGGTTAAAATATGTAACCTAGCCTCTGTACACTCTTCGCTAAACGTCAAGAAAACAGAACGTGAAGCCCAGCGTCCCTAAATATCTCCAATGACACCCTTCAATATCTCCGGGACTATAACACCTGCGTCTCCTTGGAAAAACCAATCACCTTTTTTCAAGCCAGAATACCCAACATCATTGCGATCCATATTGACCACAGCGACTCGGGCCCCTCTCGCACGCGCCTTATCAATATAGCCTGCAGCTGGGTAGACTCTTGAACTTGTTCCAATCACCAAGATCAGATCCACGGGACCAGAATTTAGCCAATTGTCCACCATTTCTAGCGTATGTAAGGGTAAACTTTCTCCAAACCAGACCACCCCTGGCCGCAAAAGCCCTTCTTTACATTCTGGACAATGTGGCAGGACATCCTGACTCAAAGCAGGGAGCGGGACGTTCTCGTCTGATATGTCCAGTTCCGTTTCCTCCATTCTTAATGCGTTGGATAGCGCCTTTGCGGCCTCCTCGCCAGTCTTATCTTCAGCAGATGGACTCAAGTCCGGGACACCTTTCGGTATGGCAAGCGCGGGGACTATCGGATCGGTAAAGTCATTTTCGCGGACATAGTTGCAGTAGAATGAGGTACATTTGACCGTGAAAAGTGACCCGTGGAGGAGGTGGAGCTGTTCCGAGGGATGGTTTGCGCGTTGTGAAAGACCTACATCGAAGCGTCCATTCGTCAGCCTTGTTCAACTAGACCACACCAGCAAATTATGCAGTTTAGGCAGTACCATCGACATTCTGTGTGAGTGTAATAAAATCCTTATTCCTCCTTGCAAGCTCTGCAAGAGCGTAGTGCGCGCGGTTAGGCTTCGCTTTGAGTGCCATGTGTCTTCGGTAGCTGTAAAACTGCCATACTAGGTCCGGGTTGGCCTCGAACGCCTCAGGCGTCGCCAAATCGGTGGCATCATAAGATCGCCAAAGACCACCGGCTCCTCGAAATGTGGGGAGTCCAGAAGATGCGGATATACCAGCCCCTAAGAGTGCCAGTATGCGTTTACACCCTTTCAAGTATTCAGTGAACGATCGCAGATCAGCTCCTGGTATTGCCAATGAGGCCATAATGTTCAGGTCACGGCTCTTAAACTGCTATGTTTCATAGATGAAGACGCAAAAACAGGAACGGAGGAAAATCTCTTTAGCAAGCCAGTTTGAATTGTATTCAGAGCGTGAAACTCATATCTATAGTAATAATTGACGATTGAGCTGTCGTTTTTCCCATTGCTTGTCCTGATGCGGAGCAGCAATGACGTGGGGTAGCAAGAAGATTATTAGTCCGACTCCAAGTGGGGTAGTCCAGTGGGCGGAATCCGCTGTCAACTGGCAAAAACAGGCGAGTCCGATTCTGGGACTCAACTTGCAGATAGATACTCAGAAGAACATACAACCAGAACAGTAAAGTTTTAAGTAACTAAGGTAGGTGCCACAATCAGTTTACTCGAAGAGTCGTACGCTCGCTATCTGACAGATGATGAGCAATTTGACAAGATTCAATGTTGTTCCTCCGCCGGAAGCCCAACATTGACTGCTGTCACAGCATAATCCCGATTGTGCTTGTTCATATCGGCAATGAATGAGGTGATGTACTCTGGTACTTCAGAGACCTTGTTCTCCGGGCTCGGAACAGGGTCTCCAAACGCCTCATAGACAGGCACAACGCCCGTCCAGACCCTATTGGTCACATCGTTGTTGCTCTTGTCCTTTCTCTCGTCAGAGACACCGCCGTCTTGAATCTTGCCACTGCCGTCGACAATCTTGACTTTAAGAATGACGGTAGAAGACATCTCGGCATTGTCTGGGGGTACTCGGGTATGGTCCCAGCGATCCGGCAGCACTGAATTCGTAATGAGTTTCATCGCCCAGAGTTTTTCTGCTTCGTCCGTGACTGGTCTAGCATAGCCGTGAAGGATAGCGGAGCGGTAGTTGTAGCTATGGGAATTGGGTGTAAGAGACAGGATTAATCCGTCTACCCTACTCGCAGCGATGCAGACAGGCAATCCGTCTCCTTCCGATTTCCTCGCTAGATTCATGATTCGTGAACTGACGTATCCATGTAGATAGCAGTCTAGAGGCTCATCAAGTCCAGCCGATGGATAGTCAAATGAGCCCATCGTACCGATCATGGGCAGTATGGCGGGAAAAGGATCCGGGGGCCCTGGACTGAAGGACACATGGAGCACTTGACTTGAGTTGATGATAGAATGGATAGCACCGAGGTCATACGTTGCTGGTTCGTTCCAAAACTCAGTATACTCCATCAAAATGTCATCTCAATCACTCATACCTCGATGTTTGTACCTGTTCACCGTGTTCGCATCTCGCTTCAGATATGTGAGTGTTCTTCCCATCGTGTATTTTCGAAGCAGGTTCTATGCCAAAGGTAACTCAGAAACGGACGTCTCGTTTAGTATCAGCGTTTGCGGCTTGATTTAAGAGGAGCTGCAAACAGTGGTGTGAGTCATGCGATACGTTTTTTCAATGCAGACCTTGCATTTTGTAATTATATATCTAGAGGTTGGAATAATTCACTGGGGATCCCGAGAATGATTGTCACCATCATGCGGCGCTCGCGCACCAATGGAGCAATGAGCTACTTGCTGCACCCATAAATGTCATATCAAGATTCCGATGATTTTTTACAAATCGGACAACGATCCTGGGGTGTTGAACATGGACATGAACACGAGAAACAGGCGGGCACGGATCGCAAGACATCGCCCATAAAGGAAAGTCCTTGCGGGGCCCCAATAACAAACATCTGCACTGCTATTGGTTGCCGTCGCCGATAGTATATCAAAGCCTTAGGCAATAAGGCATGCATCAAGAGCTCCGATAACCTTCGCGTTTGCTGGAGATACACCGAAACTAATCCAACATTTGGCGGCTCACCTTTTGAGGGCATTCGATAAGCATGTCCACATGCAAAGCCGTTGTCCAGAGATGGCCTCGATATCTCCACCGCCACATCCCATTCGTCGCACCTAGCCCCTCAATCCGGCCAGTACTTCGACGCTGTCGCATGAGCAAGCAGCCGTCCCTTCTCCGTTCATACGCTTCGATCTCCGCCGCGGAGCTTAAATTCGGGCAACCACTTCACGAGACGCATCCTCATTTATTGAATCCTGGAGAACGTATGTATTTGTTCCCCATTGGAAGGTGACTGTGACACAACAAGAATGAGTGGGCTGACTTGAAACTAGTGACTCCTGGTATCACGGCTCTCGAATACGCTCAACGTCGCTCCCGGCTTGCGAACAAGCTTCCTAAGAATGCAATTGCCGTGTTAGCTGCCTCGGAAGTTACTTACCGCGCTACTGGCATCTTCAACAATTATCGCCAGGATTCCAACTTCTTCTACCTTACCGGTATGTTTTCATTACAAGTCAAGAATAAAAGCAAGCAGCTCACTCGATGTTTTATCAATAGGCTTCAATGAACCCAATGCGCTAGCTATCATCGGTGAGACCAATTTACCAATTGAGCGACTAAAGTAGTGCTTACAATACCTAGCGAATGATGGATCTGAGGACAATCACATATTCCACCTCTATGTGCGTGAAAAGGATCCGAGGGCTGAGCTCTGGGATGGAGCGCGTTCCGGCACACAGGCGGCGATTGACGTCTTCAACGCGGATGAGGTTGGGAGACTGGCTTGGGGTGTAACGGAGAACTTAGCTAACTATTGAAGCAGACGGGCGATATTGATCGCATTGGGGATATTCTCCCAACGATCCTTTCGGGGGCCACAGAGATCTACACAGATATTCCTGCCTTTAACCCCGGGAGATCCTCCTTGCATCGTTTCTTATACGGCCCCACCAATGCATCCGAGAAGCTGAAGAAGATGGTCGATTATCGCAAAGTCAAGCCCTTGCGTAACATCTTAAACGAGATGCGAGTGTTCAAAAGTGAGGATGAGATCGTCCAATTACGCAGAGTTGGACAGGCGTCGGGGCGAGCCTTTACAGAAACCATGAGGCAGACTTTTACAAAAGAGAAGGACCTGAATTCCTTCCTGGAGTACAATTTCAAAGTGAACGGGTGCGATGGAAGTGCTTTTGTCCCGGTGGTTGCAGGCGGCTCCGTGAGTACCTCGTGACCTATTCACTCCCTATTCAGGCTGACAGGTTCAGAACGCTCTGAGTATTCACTATACGAGAAATGACGATGTCTTGAGGTAAACCCCGTTTTAACAATGTCGGAGGGTCTGGGCTAATATGAGATAAAGGAATGGTGACATGGTTCTTGTCGACGGGGGCGGGGTCAGTGCTTTCTCTATTCTGGGAACTGACTGTGACACTAACAGACTACAGGAATGGGGCACGTACATATCCGATATCACTCGAACTTGGCCGGTTAATGGCAAGTTCTCCGACCCTCAGCGCGACCTGTACAATGCAGTGTTGAATGTGCACCGCAGTTGCGTCTCACTGTGCAGAGAGAGCGCCGGACTTTCACTGGACAAATTGCACAGTATTGCTGAGAATGGTCTAAAGGATCAGTTGCAGCAACTCGGATTTGATGTTTCAGGCAGCGTAAGTTGATTTGATGTCAAGGTGCCCACATTCGTAAAGCTGATCCGTGTTTGTCTCGAACAGGCAATGGGCATCCTTTTCCCTCATCATCTGGGACACTACATTGGGTTAGATGTTCATGATTGTTCCGGATATACTCGAAGCCAGAATCTCAAAGCAGGCCAGTGCATCACCATCGAACCGTAAGTATTCTTCCAGTCTCACTTTCAGCACATTTCTAATTCGCCTTCCCAGTGGAATATACGTTCCGGACAGTGATAGATGGCCAGAGAAGTTCCGAGGCATCGGGATCCGTATCGAAGACAGTGTTTGCGTTGGGGATGATAACCCGATTGTCTTGACCACAGAGGCAGTGAAAGAGGTGAGTTCTAATTCAATTCACTTTAGACAAACTCAAAAGACAATTCTTTCGGGTTGTACTCTTTCTCCAAGGACGACCACTAATATAGGATGTTGAATAGGTTGATGATATCGAGGCGCTTCGGGACTAGATGAAATAACCTGCTGTAGTATATAGATACCCTTTCATACGTGATTGTACAATACAAATTGACTTGAGATGCTGCATCCACAGACGAAAGACGTTGATGTAAATACTGTAGTAGGGTCAACCGTGAAAACAAACAAACAACGAACCGTTAAGGGCAGTCCTTGATCGGTAAAATTCAATGTACCATTTGGTACGATCGAGTCGACGCGTGGAGTAATTCGGACAGAACACAACTTCGGAGGAGAAAACCTGATTAAATAACAAGAAACGGACTGAGTGTGTCAATTCCCTTGGAGGCGCGGTGGCTAGAACCAAATTGCTAGAATTTATAATGTAAAGAATGTTCTATGCACATTCGTAGTACGGAGTACGTCCCTAGGTACGGAGTACTAGTCCTGTAAAAGGCCTGATAGCATCGCGCGACGGTCTTTGGTTGTTTGGCACACATCCCCATCGGCCAAAACAAACCCGTCTCCACCGGGCTTCCTCACACGCTTAGTCCTATCCTGCTTCGCTTCTCTTCTCGGTCGACCTATCTACGTACTGGCCTGCCTTACCTACTACTCTGCTTCGCCTTACATACTACCTACTTTAACTCCAACTACTGCTCTCCCTGTCATCCGACGTCCAACCTCCTAAGAAGTCTCCGGACTCGATTATCCTCCTATACAGACTCGAGGTATTCGCCTCGTATCCTTCTTCTACTGCACGTTCCTTTCCCATTGCTCTCTGGCACACGTACAATGGCTTCTCTCTAATTGAAGATCCTGCCCTTCCAGACGTGTAGCCAGTCGTGTGCTCAGCCTAGAGTGCCCCTCTTGTGCTGGCACCTCGACTTACCGCGTTCAGCTACAACAAAAAGCCCTCGTGTATTGTTACCATATGGCAACAGTATTCATACCACCTTCGCCTCAGAACTCCCTTAATATGTCAACTCGCCGACCTCTCGCCAACGTGCCGAATGCTACCAATTCCCCTCACAGGGCGGGTCTTGTCCCTGCAAAGCGTCCTCGGACAACGAATCCTCCGATCGATATACCCTACGGCCAGCCTCCTCCCAAGAAGCAGGTGATCGATGGAGTGGACCAGGAGTCGCGTTCCCCAGCCCGGGTTAAATCGAGCACCACCGATTCTAAACTCTTCACACGGCGTTCAACCAACGCACAGCCAAGTGCCTTCGAGAAAAAATTGGTGGCTGCAAGGGATAAGGAACGGCAAGCTCTGCTCAAAGGAACGAAACAGGAGAGGCCATCCGCAGAATCGGTGGATTCTATTCGGCAATGGCAGAGACATTACCGAAAGGCGTTTCCACACTTCGTCTTCTACTTCGATGCTATTTCAGAGGATGTTCGTGCCAAGTGCTCGAGGCAGGTCATTGCCCTCGGAGCTGTAAGTGTCCCTTTCAACCTTTTGATCCGATGATGACTCGTTCTTTTTCAACACGCTTGTCCCTTTCCTGGGATTGGTCGTCTGCTGTTCATATGCAATGGAGGAATATAAAGTTGCTGACTGAAGTGTATAGAGTGAGGAAAAATTCTTCTCGCGTGATGTCACCCACGTCGTCACCTCTCGTCCTATCCCGCCTGAAATTGATACTGTGACTCCTGCAGAATTGAACGCTACATCTGCTGATCAGACACCGGTTGATACCGTCAACCCGTCCTTGCTTGAGAAAACCGCAGACACACACCTCCATATGTCCTTGAAGACGGACCAGCGACGTGAGCCAAGCAACATGGATGTTTTATACCGGGCTCGTCGGATGAAAATGAAGATATGGGCTCTTGAGAAGTTACAACGTATGATTGCTGCTATAAATGATGGGGATCCCGGTGGTCACAGCAGTCAATCGCGCAACCATAATGCTGTTGGTGGAAGCACTAAGGCCCGCGGCGAGTCAGACCTGTCACAGGTCTTACGGAAGGAGCTCATCAACGGTCCTTCGGACAGGGACCCTCTGTCGTCGTTAAAGGAGCTGGTGTTGTTCAAAGGGCCGTTCATCTACATCCACGATATGGATGAAAAGACCAAGCCTGTCATGGTGCGAGAATATCCCAAAGTTGCAAGGAGACAGGATGGTATCTGGCCACAATTCAGAAGCGCCCCGCTGGGGAAATGCCCTTTCATCGACGAACCTCCCAGCAAGAAAGAGATTGAAAGGCAACGGGCACGCCAGCAAGAGAAGGAGAAGAAAATTGCTCCGAAAGCTCCTGCCATTAAAGAGGTACCTAAATTTGACGCACCAGATCTAGGCCCCGTGAACATAGACAATCTGGAGCCGTCAAAAGAGACTAAAACTGGCGACAATGGTTTCGAACCAGCGCAGCGGACGACGCCGGAAGACGTGCAGATGCCATTGCAGACCAAACCAGAATCACCAAGGAAAAGCTCCGAGAGTTTCGTGCCCCCTCCGCTCCATAGGACAGGACCATTTTATGCTGGTCGTGAACCTGCCGCGTCCGGTATGCAACCATCAAATATCACATCTGCTATCCGGTCGCAGATGGTTTCCTCCACCGCCGCTGCACCTGGTGCCAAAGCTGGGTTGAGCAAAGAAGTCCATGAATTGAAGAGAAAGGTACTCGAGAAGAGCAACGGCGGTTTGTCAACCGGCACCGTGCTGTCTCCCCTTCCCACCACGTCTACCTCGGCCCCCCTAAAGATGTCAAACTACCAATCGAACAAACTCTGCCAGGCGAACACGCAGGAGAAGCTGGGACGCGTGCAAGAAGAGGACACTACTCAGTCCGAAGGGAACGGTGTGGCTAAGCGGCGGACTGGTCTTCGTAAAGTCCCAGTCCCAAAGAAAAAAGAAAGAAGGAGAGACCCTAAGCCTGGGTACTGCGAGAATTGCAGGGACAAGTTCGATGACTTTGAGGAGGTAAGAACCGATCATGTAGAAAGGATTTGACAGCGGCTAATCTTTTGTCTAGCACATCATGACAAGAAAGCATCGCAAATTCGCAACCAATAAGGCGAACTGGGCTGACCTAGATGCACTGCTGGAGGAGCTGCAGAGGCCTCTGAAGGACGAGTACGACTACGAAGATTCAGTCACTCCTTGATCTAGCGGATGCGTGAGCATTTGTTTCTTCCTTGCGGCTCGCTAATAATCCCTCCTCCAAGCAAGCGAGCTCGTCAAGAAGGACTCAGTTATTGTGAGCTCAGCACGACTGCATTAGCCCGTCTCGCAGTGCCGAATATGAGTACATATGCGGCGATATGCACACGCATCGCATCATTCGTTCATTCCCGTCCCTGACTTACGTCGATCTCACTTTTCATATTTTCTTCCTCATTTTTACTTCTTTTACCGCTCGGCGGTCCATTGTATTTCATATCTACCAGGTTACCATATTACCGTACAGCCGGCGTCCGTTGGATTTTCTCGCGAGGTTTCGATGTCGCAGCAAGGACTTCACGAGCCAAAAGCACGTCACGGCCTTTAAGCGACCACTTTTGCATACTATATCCGGAATGAAGAAAAGAGACGAAAAGCAAACGAATTACATATTTGGAGGTTGGCGACGCGGAATCCGTCCTGCATGCTGCATGCGCGTACTATGCCCCGTACCACGTATGCAGAAGATGCTCGAAGGTTGGATTGACTAATTCATCAAGGCACTTGTTTTCATCATGTTCTTCTTCTTCTCTTGTTTTGTCCTCGAGCATTTTCATCGGCGGATGTTAAGGGGTGGGTTGCATAAGGCTGAATGCATATCTAGGTGGCTTCGTCTTTTTTCTGTTCCGTGGCATGTCTGGTTGGTTTCCCATGTGGCTCATTCTCAGTTGTCATGGCCACTGATTCTAGCCACCAAAATAATCAAATAACTTATTCCACAACTCGTCCTGCTTTCTACATCGTACACTTCAGTACTCCTGCCTGCATTAAACGGCTATATCCGAGCCTCGGCTGCATGGCATCTCGGACCGGAATAAACTAAAGCGCCGGCGGAGAAGGTCAATCCACTTTACGACCGATCGACCAATAAGAGTACGGAAATACATCCACCAAAGCACCAAGGAATGCCCTACTGGGTAAACATCCGGCAGAATGGAACCATTAAGGTGAAAAAAAGTGTAGCACGCGCGATTGAACTCTTCGGATGCCACAGGCTACGCCGCATAAACCAGCACGTCCGGGAGTATATAACTCTCAACGCAGAATCATGGGATGAGGGATTGTTGTCACTTTGCTCATCAGTCGCTCTTAAATGCACTACAGAGTTATTATTTCTTTCGAACCAAGGTAGCTTGCATTTGAAATAAGGTACTTTTTGATAAGATCGAGTCTTATACTTTACACTTTCCTTCTCGGGTAGTGACGCCATTGTGCCGACGTTTATACCAACGGCGCGGCAGTTCTTTGCCCCTTCCCCACACTTCAACCTTTTATGATCTTTATCTCTTGGAGACTCGACATACATTTCATTCTATCGCAGTTATGGTTTCGTCCCGGACAGCCGTACAGCTGACGCTGCCCTTACGGTCGCTTGCCAGGGGGGTGGTGGTGCGGCCTGGTCCATCTTCTGTCGTCCCTTTTGTCCTTCGTGGTAGCTACCCCCCAGCCCGTCATGTTCCCCCACCATGCACGCGTCAAGTTCGACATAGTTCCCACTCGCCGCTGGGGGCGGCACCGGTGAACCCTCGGAAAAAGGTGACGATGCAGACCTTGCGGAGTCTGTACAAGAAGGGAGAACCCATCACAATGCTCACCGCGCATGACTTTCCCAGCGGCCATGTTGCCGACGCAGCTGGGATGGAGATGATCTTGGTCGGGGACAGTCTGGCGATGGTCGCCCTTGGGATGGAGGACACGAGCGAGGTGTTAATGGAAGAGATGTTGCTGCATTGTCGGAGTGTAGCGCGCGCAGCTAAAAGCGCTTTCACGGTTCGTAAACCTTGTCGGCGGCGTGGTTTGTGTTCGAGGCTTGGCTGATACGTGGATATCTATAGGTCGCAGACCTCCCCATGGGCTCGTATGAAGTGTCGCCGGAACAGGCTGTGCAATCGGCTATTCGCATGGTGAAGGAAGGTCGCGTACAGGCCGTGAAACTCGAGGGAGGCGAGGAGATGGCGCCGACCATTAAGCGGGTTGTGCAGGCTGGAATCCCTGTCGTCGGACACATCGGACTCACTCCTCAACGCCAGAATGCTCTGGGAGGCTTCAGGGTGCAGGGAAAGTCGACAGCCGGTGCGTTACGGTTGCTCAAAGACGCTTTGGCCGTGCAAGAGGCTGGCGCATTCATGGTTGTAGTCGAAGCGGTACCGGCTGAGATTGCTGCGATCATTACTAAGAAGCTCTCTGTGCCCACTATTGGTATCGGCGCAGGCAACGGCTGTTCCGGACAGGTCCTGGTGCAGATTGATATGACTGGCAACTATCCTCCCGGTCGTTTCCTCCCCAAGTTTGTCAAGAGGTACGCCGATGTTTGGGGCGAGAGCATCAAAGGAATCGAACAGTACAGAGAAGAAGTCAAGAGTCGCGCGTACCCTTCGCAGGAGTACACTTATCCGATAGCCCAAGAGGAACTCGCGGAATTTGAAAAGGCTGCTGACGTGATCAAGCGCTCCTGATTTTCGAGTTCCAGACATGTACTCAATGATCATTCCTCTTCGATGTTTCTTCAGTTTCTGGCGCTTCGTTTCTCGCCCTTACCACGTCAAAATTTAGGCATTTTGGGCTTGAATGATACCATGTCTTTTGATGATTATGACCGTTAATGGAATTGTTTGCGGTAGCGGCTTTATCTTTTGCATCTCGAAAATTTACCGGGGGAGTTGACCCCATGTGTTTCCCTCATGCCTGCATGCTTTATTGTAATACATGCATCTGCTTTATTAACCGAATGCTGGCGTCATAGAGTACGAGACAATCAATTGATCGTCCGTCTTGAAACACTACGAAACCTTTTAGTCTATACTTCAGTGCAGAAGCGCGCCTGTAGCAGGAATACTCACTCTCCATAAACCTCCAACGCCTTCATCTAGGCCCGGAGCAAAGACGCTGTTGACGTAGCAAAAGACAGAATCTGTGTCTTTGCAGTCGAGCTTCTTCCTGAGGAATTTGACAACTGTTTCGAATTTCTGGGACGCACTGATCTTGAAAACCCGATTCTTCAGAATAGGTGCTGAAGGAAGAGGCTGAAAGCGAACTGTCACTATTCAGAGTTAGACTAGGACGCAGATTTCAGGTTGGAGCGAGCCTATTGATGATCCAGAATATGACCACACGCATATTCTTTACCTTTTCCTGTATCGACAGCCTCCGCATCCGCTAAAGCTCGGTGGGCATCGCGCGGTAGGCTGCTAAGCACCACCGAGGCGGACATGGTCATTGGTAAATCTGCTCCATGCTCATCGTCCGGGATAGGGGTGCTTCTGGTATTTGAATCTAAATCTGGTCTTTGGCTAATAGCAGGTCGATGACTGAGTCTGCTGCCCGTTATTTGTGGAGATTTTGGATTCGGAGAATTTGTCCCCGAGGGGTTTTCTGGTGATGGAGAGTCCATTTTGTGATATATGCTGGGGTATGCGCTGGGGATGAGGCTATCACTTGCAGTCCGTCGATGAGTGTGAGGTAATGAAGGGTTTACAGGAGGTTGTTGTCGTTGCACTTGGGACAGTTGTTCGGTGGATCTACGAGCTAATTTGTACCTTAGGTAGCTCTAGGTAGTTCGTTACAGCACTAGTTGGGTTCGGTCCGATCAACATGGCTCAGGCACACTACCAACAGTGTAGCATGAAATACCATGAGAAACAACATGGGTATCGACTGAGCAATAACATCTCAATTCCTTCAACTAGATTTCTGATGTGCAGTGGAGTAGTAGTGTACAACATTGACGGTTAGAATGGATGCCACCCGATTCTGGACGGATCACAAGCACCAACTACTGACGTAGTGGCCCTCGTTATCGATGGCTGATAAACCTGAAAGCTAGTCGACGCTCCACTGAAAGGCCGGTTGATGACGCTAGCCCATCTACAGATCTATCACTCTGGCAAACCAAATAAGCATCAATTCGGTCTCGAAAGTAGTAGATTATTCCTGTGGAAGAATCTAAAACGCAATAATATTTATCCAGAGAGAGAACAGGGAGAGAAAGGAAAAGATCTGGTAAAGCACAGGAGAAAATACAGAGCCCTCGCTGAGTCAGCCCGGGCCACATGACTGCCCAACCAAATGGTGCCATCACTCGATAATCCTGACGGCTATAAGTTACTAGTACTAGACTCCTCTGTAGTGACTGGTTCGCCATTTCTCCGTGCCATCCTGTTAACTATATCTCCTTGACCAACACCTCCTGCTTCCGTTGTACTGCCTTGAGATTCTAGTACCACTGTCTTTTCTCAAAGATCCTCGTCCTTCCCGGTCTTTGTGCTACTTTGCGTCAAGACTTTCTTTGATCGCGCGCCGTTGCTCGTTATCTCGCCCCCGCTCATTGCTTCCCCGCTCCGGTCTTGGAGAACCCTTCGGGCACGACTCTCTCAAAGTACTCAATCGCCTTCAGACGATTTACCCCTTTCTTACAATTCACCTTTGGATATCAAAGGATATAAGACCATAGCAGTCTGCAAGTTTTCAAAATGAGCAGCCCAAAGCGAAGAATCGAGACCGATGTGAGTTCAATCAAAGGTTTTCTCGAAGGACATGGTTCACAAATGAGCAAACGCTGACACGTCGCCTTGATCTCTTTGTATAGGTTATGAAGTATGCTAAGATTCCTCTTGAAGACAACCAGCGGACAAAAGCTAACCGAATGACAGGATGTATGCCGCACCCCTCTTGAGTGTCCATTGACCCTGCCTTCTGGAAGTCACCTATGCTTGCAGATTCGAGCGAGCGATTTTCGAACTTCCTGTCGGCTTCTGGACGTTGCTGATATGTTTCCAGGTTGATGAGTGACTACGAGGTGACTTTAGTTAATGACAACAGTGGGTAATATGGGCTTATCTCTGTATTTCACTACTAACTTCTGGATAGTGTATGCTGCGATTCCTAGACATCCATTACCAACCAACCATCAACGCAGATTATTGACGATTTTTATTTTCGGACAGGCAAGAATTTTACGTGCGCTTCAAGGGCCCCGAAGAGAGTGCGTCTTGCCACTTCCCTCAAAACTCCGCATCTACTGACCAATAATAGCACCGTTCGCTGGCGGTCACTGGAAGATTCACGTCGAGTTGCCCGATCAATATCCCTACAAGAGCCCGAGCATTGGTTTCGTGAACCGGATCTTCCACCCGAATATCGATGAATTGTGAGGCATCCCAGCTATCACTCAAAGTTCGACGTTAACCCTCTCATTTTTCGCAGATCTGGCTCAGTGTGTCTTGATGTGATCAACCAAACCTGGTCACCAATGTACGATATGATCAATATTTTCGAGGTTTTCCTCCCTCAGCTCCTGCGGTACCCGAACCCTTCAGACCCGCTCAACGGCGAGGCTGCTGCGATGTTAATGAGGGAACCCAAGAGCTACGAGGCCAAAGTAAAAGGTGAGTGATACAGCGATCGCCTCAGGAGAGCACTTACTGATTGGATCGACAGAATACGTGGCCAAGTATGCTAGCAAAGAGGCAGTTGATGAAGCCGGAGAGGATACAGAGTCGGAAGATGAGCTGAGCTCGGCTGGAAGTTACGAATCTGGTGGTGAGGAGCCGGCCGGTACGATGGATGACGTGTAGATCCATCGTCGGAATCTTGGTCGGTTGCTCGAACCCGGTGCGCATTCTGTTGCATTATGCCATCTATTTCCTATATTCACCTGTTATTCTATCGAAACAAGGCTGGCGGGCGTTACTGGCGGAGTTACTACTGGTTTTCAAGACGCTACTGAGGTTTGCAGCTCCCGAGCCAAGGTCCAGGTCACGATTTGCTGATTAGCAATCGACTGGTGTTGGCGAACTGTTTGCTCTTCCACGTTGTTTGCATCTGGATTACTCTGCTCCTCTGTACTCACGGTTCCTTTCAGCATCTAGTAGTATATGCATGTTGATAAGCCAAGATAATTTATACAGTCTCCGCCTCTGCGAGAACTGCAATAAGATTATTTCTGAAGATGGAGATATTACTCGAGACTAGGGATCCGCTCATAGTGTTGTGCGTGCACAGACATGCCCATTAGCTATGTTACTATCTAATACCACGATGCTGCCTCTTGATGTGAGGAGAGTCAAAAAAAGAAATCTACCCAAACATGATGAATGTGTAACACAAAGGAAATGTATACCTGACAAGTGCAGTAACTATAAGAGAGGACTGAAAGGCGCAAGAGGGTATTAATCGTCGTCAAGCGACCGAAACTGAAGGAAAAGAAGGATTGGCCGAAAACACCCGACAAAGAAGCGAAAGAGTCGGAGTCCCTGAAGCGAAGAAAGTAGAAAACAACCGTCGGCCGGCGACCCAGTACAACGAAGAAAAAGAATGCAGCGCATCAACGTGAGATCGTCTCCCCGTCATCCGCAGGTTCACGTCACCTTCAAAACACCAAAGACATCTCGGCCGTTCGTCTCATCTGTGTTCAGACCTGGCCGGGCCTTCTTCCCTTTCCTCGGGTTGATGACCACCTCTCCCCAGTGCTTGCACGCGGTGCCATCATGTGCTGCGCCAGACTTTGACGATGTCGGTGACTTTGACGGGTCGGCCGTGATTATTTTGACGGGGACGTCGCTGCTCGAACTTGCTTTTGACGCCACCGAGCCGTGTAGCGTCGCGCGTGGTTGGAGATGGGGTTGCGGTTGGAGGGACCAGATATCGATGACGGACCTAGGTGCCTGGATTAGCTTCTCGTTCGGATGTCTGTGGTAGGTGGCCGGCTTGGAGACGAGGGAGCAGCAGGTAACTACTCACTCTGAGGTTCGCTGGCAGATTGCTTCGAGGGCTTCTCGTTCGCGCTTTATGTTCTCCGGGTCGGGGTTGTTGATCTGATTCGCGTGATTAAGAGCTCCATAGCCGTAGCCGGACTGGTAGATATCGTCGTCTAGCAGACGCGAGGACTCGGCCTAGAGATCCGGACTTTTAGTATCCTGTTTGAGGCTTGGGAAATGATGATGGCCTTGACCAGCCGCATCATGCGACTGCGGCAGCATGGTCCTTGTCGCTGTTTGGTTCTGATCCACAAATACATACATCATGGCTTTCCCGGCGATTTAGCCCAAGGCAAGAAGCACAGACACCCATTGATCCTGATGTATTATAGAGCGGTAATCGAGTCTCGAGTGTTGGATATTAGGATAGTCGTACGGGCTTCGCAACGGAACGATCGAGTTGTATTGAATATCGAATGACGGAAAGATAATGCAAGGAATGCAAAATATCAGAGTACAAATATCAGCCGCGGCAGGAAACCGACGGGTGATGCTGGGAACGTTAGATATAGAGAAGTACCCGGAGTCGCACGACCACCCACCGTCGACTGGATCCATGAAGGAATCCGGTGTTGTCGATTGGTCCGTGCGCCTCTGACATTCAACTCTACATCGGGCTCATTCTTCAACTGGCTACATTCCTTGATATTTGGAATACCGTCGCATATCTTCATCAGACAAAAGACGTGATGAGAGAACTGATCTATTGATAAAAAAACATCCCTATGATTCGACAATCTATCCATGCTTTGGGTCAATATTCATGCTTTCAGGCTCCACCAAGCATCACAAGCGGAGCCCTGAGATACCATGAGTTTCTACTTGAGTTAACCACACAATGATAGCAAGCTTGTCTTTCCTTATCTACCAATTATTCTCTCAGTCTAGTTCCTTGGTCGCCGATAAGGTCCTTCCTGTTGCCTTATTCTCTCAGGGATCTTGCTGCCCAGTCGCACTGGCCATGAAAATGGGTCTTTTCGACAAGGAAGCAGACGATCACTCCTTTTTGTGACCTAATTCAAGAAACGGAGCCACTCATCATCATACTCTGACAGCGAAAATGATCTAGACTCTGTACGGAAAGGCGCTACAACCCTGTCCCCTCTGTTGTTGTGTCTCCTCTTGTTATGGCGGACCCCGCATCATATTGCCCCTCCACGAACAGCTCAGACTCGTTCACATATAATTATCTAGTCTCCTTCAAGCGTGTCCGTATATAGTCACCACACGACCCATCTAATCTATCAATCATGCCCGGACGGCTCGAAGAAAAGGTTGCCATTGTGACAGGCGCCGGGTCAGGCTTTGGCTACGGCATCGCCAAGAAGTTTGTCGAGGAAGGCGCCAATGTCATCATCGCAGAGCTGTCGCAGCAAAGTGGAGAGAAAGCGGCAGCCGAGCTGAACTGCAAGTTCGTCCTCACCGATGTGACGAGGCGGGAGTCCTGGCAGGCATTGCTGCAGGCAACACTGGATGCATACGGGAAGCTCGACATTGTCGTCAATAATGCTGGTGCGACCTATAGCAATAAGCCCACCGTCGAAGTCACCGATGCCGATTTTGATCTGTGCATGAATGTCAATATCAAATCGATTTATCTGTCCACGAGTGTCATAGTGCCGTACTTCCTTCAGAATAACCGGCCCGGGTCGTTTATCCAGATCTCATCGACGGCTGCACTGCGTCCTCGCCCAGGCTTGACGTGGTATAATGCTTCAAAGGCAGCTGTAAGCAATGCGACCAAGACGATGGCCGTCGAGTATGGGCCCAAGCAGATTCGTTTTAATTGTGTATGTCCCGTCGTTGGTAGTACAGGCATGTAAGTACAAAGCTGCGCACCGCTGATGCGCAGACTTGAAAATGACTCACCTTGCTACGTCTTTAGGACACATTTATTTCTTGGTAAGCCGGATACAGAAGAAAATCGCGCTGCTTTTGTTTCAACTGTGCCGCTGGGTCGGCCCAGTACTCCTCGTGATGTTGCGAATACATGTTGCTTTCTGGCGAGCGATGAAGCGGAATTCATCACGGGCGTGAACTTGGAGGTAGGGTACCGACCTCTTTGTTTTAGATCAGCACTAACTAATGGCTATTGGGATTCAGGTGGACGGCGGTCGTTGTGTTTAGACAATATATATTATGTGGCAATCTATAGCGCCTACGTGGAAGAGCATGGATTGTTTCAACAGCCCCTCGCGATCTAGTGCATTTAGCTCAGCAAAATATGAAAAATCTGGCACTTCACCAATCGTAATCACTCTCAGGGCAGTTCAACCCAGCCGGGTCGCAAAAGCTGTCGCTATAGTTTCCCTTTCATCGCAGTGACGAGAGTCTCGACGAGCTGATGGCTGGGATAGGCCCTATACCGGACTCTGCAATGCATTTCTCTAACGGTGCCGTGGAATTTTCAGCATTTCTAGGTTGTGTTTTCATATCGAATAGCGCATATAAGCTTTGTAGTCGAGGGTCAACCTCAGCGCAGTATCACCCAGGGCGTTAGTGGTCAGAGAAAGGAGAAAGTAAAGGTAGCATTGGAGCGAGTGAAGTATACGAGCCATAATGAGAGATATATATATCAGTCTCTGGACCATATAGAGTAATGGACGGTATATTCAAGATGAAGCTCTGTTTCTTTCCAGAAGTAGGCAATTATTCTTCATTCACTGCTGAGATTCTATCAAAGAATGAATGATATTAAGAATTTCAACCACAGCTTCGCTGGGTAATTCCCTCTAACGGTTATTTACTTTCGTGAACAGCCATATGTTGCTGTACTCCTTTGAACAAAGTACATGTTGCCTAGTATTGGCAGACTGAGGTAAGTAATTGACACCAAGCCTAGGCTAAGAAGTGTCAAGGCTTTAAGAGAGCCGTCAAACTCTCCATAAATACGGAGTAATGCGAAGCCATATAGCTGCGAGGAACGAAAGGAAGATGTTGGTTGGGTTTGATGCACTTGCAGATCCCCGGGAACGTGGCCGTAGTGATGCCCGTGCGTGGAAAATGCCCAATCCACAATTTTCGGAATCAGCATTTCGCTCCGCACGACAGAGCATTCTTGACCAACACAATCGCTGGAGACCCTGACCCATCTTTCGATGACCTAGATCTTCATATAGATACTCGCAAATTCTAACGACATGTTCGACCTCCCAGACGCAAAACGGTACCGTGACCTCCAATCCAGTTGTCCGTACTTTGACTAATTTTGAGTCCGCTCTACAGCGTTCGTCGCGATGAACTTCTCTCGCGAGATTCGACTTCACGATCGCCTTCACCACAGCCGGACTCCTCGTTCCAAGACGTTCATCAACGGTTGGGGGCGCTCCTCAACCTTGATGCTTTAATAGCGCCTGCAGAATCCACCGCCCCGACACCCGGATCACAGGAAGACGGCCACCAACAAGAAGATGAGGAGCAGGAGTTCGACTTTCGTTTATTTAGCGCACCTGCTGCGCCAAAATCTACAACCAAGGACGAGAAGACGCCTGCAACGGAAGGCGGAGAGAAAGCAGTAAGCGGGGGTACTCAAAAATTGAGGATTCGGTTACGCTCGCCGACACCTGGAGCGGTGGACGGGGAGGGGCGATTTCTCAATCCCTTCCGAGGGTGGCAGTATTACTTTACGACCCCGGAGTTGCTTTCTGGGCCCGGTGCGAAGCAGGATTCGGCTTCGGCTTCGGCCATCAGGAGGAAACAATTCGAGGAAGTCGCTGTGACCGGGCAGCAGATGCTGGGGTGGTCGGAGGTGTCCTGGGTATGTGTTGGCCTTTCCCTCGACTCACTTGGGTTTGATATGGTTTGCTGATTTTTTGTTTCTCGCAGCCCGGGTGCCATCTACCGTGGCGGGTGATACACCTCAAGCGGCAGCATACCAAGTTACCTAGTGCATCTGCAGATCCCACTGCAGTCGCGACTATTTGCATTACGAACCCTCCGACAAGAGACCCCAAGTCTCGAAAGAAGCCCGGCAAGAAGCGACGTATCCAGTTGCGGAAGCGAACAAAGGCGGCAGAGGAGGAGAAGCAGAAGGAGGCCGAGAAGCGAAATCGCAAGAACCGGGAGAGGAAAATCAAACGGAGACAAAAAGCACGAGAATTGAAAGCTGCAGCTGCAGCTGCATCGGGACAAAGTCAAGATGTCGCCGAAATGGAGATGAAAGATTCTTCTGATGCGAGCGATTGAAAGTACTGTTAACGGACTGCCGTGCATTTGTGATACCCTATGATTAACATGCATTCACCGAAGTGCGATGGTCTATCATCATTACAATAGTGAGAGCACTAAGATGACACTGGTCATCAAGCAAGCTATATTGCTCTAATTATTGACCGGGGAAGATATAACAGAACGAGGGGTATATTATGCGACGCAAACACGGCAACGGCAACGGCAACGGCAACGACGACGATAAAAGACGATCAACTCAACAGAAGGAACATTCGGGTATTATGCGGCAACTGCCTGCTACTGTGAAAACGTGAAGGACCAGAGTAAAGATCGGATTAAGAGGGACTGTTAGGAGATTTCGTTCAAAGAATGATATCTGGAGCAAGGCAGACGATTACTTGGCTTCCTCGGCTATTTTGGTCAGCATATTCGACCTGAATTTCCCGAGATCCAGTTACTCACTCTTGGGCGGCTCCGCGGTCTCAGCGGGCTTTTCAGCAGCTGGCTGAGCAGGCGTTGGCTCAGTAGCCGGGGCTGGAGCAGCAGGGGCAGTTTCCGCCGGAGCAGCCGCGGAAGTAGTTGTGTCCGGAACAGCGGGAGTAGCAGCAGTAGCAGCAGTAGCGGCTGTCGTGGGCTCGGGAGCAGGAGCCTCTGTCTTCGTCTCGGGGGCTGGTGTTTCTGTCTTCGCTTCGGGAGCTGCTGTAGTGGAGGACCCGGGCTGCGTCTCGGTGGGTTGTGTTGCCGCCTCTGCTGACTTATCTGCTACGGCTGCTTGGTCTGCAGAGTATTAATTTCGTGTGACATTGGGCGACTCGACTGGATAAAGCAAGATATAAAGGAACAACGTACCAGGCTTAGGTTCGGTAGCAGGTGCTGGCTCTGCTGGCTTGGTTTCCGTGGCAGGTACAGCGGCCGCAGCAGCAGCGCCGGCGGCGGCGGGGGCGGTTGCTGGCTGTTCTACAGGCTTGTCCGCAGCCGGGGCAGGCTCAGTTTGTTTGTTCTGAGCCTTCTTCTTTCTGCGGGAGAAAATGGCTTTCAAGCCCTTCTTCAATTGCTGAAGAGCATCAGGAGCTGATAATCAGGTCAGACAGCAGCTTAGGAGAGAGCTAGCGTAGCTTGGTTCACATACGGACACCGGGCATTTTGAAGCTAGAGAAGAGATTGTAGCAAGAGGCGATTAGAGTAGCGAAAAAAGGAAAGAAAGACAAAAGCCTTGCCTAAGACGATTTTGCGCGCAGATCTGAACCTCAGAGAGAGAAAAGGAAGTGATGAACTTCCCAGCAAACGAAGACGAAAAGGTTATCTTATGACTGTTTTGATGGCTTGTCCCCCACGTGATGGTTGGGAGGTCCGATCGACCAGTCTCCTACTCCGTACTCCTTTTCGTTACGTCCCTTGTCCAGAGCTGGTTAGATTCGAGCCGGCCGAATACTGCTTTCCTTTGATTGATGAAATACTCCTTGGCTAAATTTCACGCACAGCCACGCGTGTGCTCCTGTACGAAGAGCCAAGATCAGCCGGCGAATTGCTATCTATGCGCGCGGACGGACGCTACTCAATTGTCCCGTCCAGGGGGTTCATTCATTCGTCTTGGAGCTAAGTACCGGCTCCAGGTCTCCGATAACAAAGACCATTACGGAGGAGATCGGCATAAGCTCCTGAATGTGGGGATAACGGCAAGTCACCTACAGTTGACGAAACAAAAGGGGAAATAAAGGCTATGGAGAACTATCCATCCTAAGTGATTGATGACACCCCCCCTCGAGTCTACGGGGTTAGAGTGAGAGTGACAGCTCAGATCGATTCATTCCTCCTCCATGGACAACAGCGTTTAACATGGTAGTCCCGAAGCTCGACATTGCTCGCCTAAGTTATCCATTCCAATGAAGGAAGCACAACTGAAACCCCTCTGTCACACAAATCATTTGTCACTCAATATCTTAGACTCTGGAACGCTTAGCGGAACAATGACTCTTCTTATTACATTGTCTCACATAGGGAGCGATAGATTACATCAATCTGAAACGAAACACCAACAGGGACACTGGGCAATCAGCAATGGCATCTGAGTCTGCAACCTATCCTACAGCGACAAGTGTATCTACCAAGCGATTATCATGATTAAGCAGGGGCACAATGACAGGCGCAATCTCCCGGAATGTCTGATATGCTTGCTGTGTAAATTGTGTTCCCTAGGCTCTCAGAGGTGATAGCAGATGGCATCTAGTGGTGATGAGACTCGGTTCGTGGGACCGAGAAACAGGAGGAAAAAATTGCTTGCACTCGAGAATTTGAAAATAAGAGAATCGAGAGATACAATAAAACAGAAAAAAAGCAAGAAGATAGGCAAACAGGAACTAAAAAAGAAATGCTCACAAGCGGATTTGAACCGCTGACCTCATGATTACTAGTCATGCGCTCTACCAACTGAGCTATGCGAGCTCTTGTTATTATAAATTGTTTTTAATTACTTTGAGAGGGGAATTTGAAGATAGATTCTCCTTGCACACGTACACCGTGATCTCATCAATATTTTCTGGGACGGATTT